GCCGTCACTTTTGATCAGTTTAATGCATCCCTGCTGAATGAAAGTGATCATTTCTATCAGTTTGCTTGAGATTAACCATCTAAATGAACTGAAACGAGTTCAACTTCTTTTTAAAGAGTGTGTGAAAACAGCTGAGCTGTAGTTAAGTCAGTCTCTCCGCAGCACTGAGGTAAACTTCAGAGAAAAGGTCTGCGCAGGGCTCCAGATGCGAATGCTTTGAGGCCGGGCTGAAATGTGGCACCCAGGTGACAGAGCAGCGTCTCTCGGTTAAAGGACTGTCTGATCAGAGATGCTTCCGCAACACTGTCGCTCTTAAACGGACCAAGGGCCAGTTTTACTAAACAGGGCAAATTAGCGTGAGAGTACAATTCCAAAACAGGGGAAATTTCTGCGGGTGATTTACTAACAACACGCAAATAAAAGAACACAGATGCAACTTCTCATTTATATATCAATCAACGCAATATACCAAGCGCCAGGCAAATTTGCGTAGTCGCAAATAAAGAACTAAAGAAGCCACAGTACGTTGAAAAGAACAGGAGGCCAAAAAATGAAGGATTGCAAGAGGTTTTGATAGACCTGGTATTGTGTGACTCCTAGTTAAGGTTACAAGTCGTTTTTTATTTCTTGAAGCAAATAAAAAATAACATGTCTTGGCAAACGATATGAAATGCATACGAAATGTGTTCTTCTGGCATTCAAAATAAATGAATACGTGTGGGAAAAATCCTCTCTCCTTCTACCACGCCTGCAGTACCTCTCCTAGAAACAACAATTGCAGTTATTTCAAGCGCAAAATAGTTTACGACATGCTTTTTTGGGGCGTTAAATAATGGCGCAAATACCAGTAATTTGACAAGCGCAAACGTTAGTAAAACGCATTGTGTGATTTATTTGAATACTCTCCTCCCATAACTTTTGTGTCTGAAAGGGAAACTCAAATGCATATTCAAACATAACTGTCCACGCCTTTTCAGCTCTAAATCGTCACTGCGCGTCTTTAGTAAAAACCTGACAGTACTATTTTAACGACAAAAGGAGGTTTGCGCTGGTGCAAGCTGTTAGTAAAACTGGCCCCAAGTCTGCTCTACACTTCTTTAATGATGTGTTATCATTCAAATATCTTAAATGTTTCATATAGGTTCTTTTGTTAATTGTATGATGCCGTTAAGATAACGTTGAGGCTGAAAATTTAGTTATCTGCACTACAAACAACAGGCAGATAACTACACTGAAGCTATTTAGGACAACAATATCATACAGACATTTCTTAGATTACAGTATTTGTAAAAAAGCAGAAGTGGTCTGTTTTCATGCTACAAAAACAATGACCTCAGATTTGAATTTGAACATGTAAATTAACACAATATACTATTGTATTATATTACTATTGTATCAAGTAACACAAAAATACTGCATTAAAAACTGCAGTGATTAGCAGCAGTATTCAGCTACTAATACTCGAAAGTTTCGGATTAGTACGATTTTTAATTTTTTGCATTTATTTGATCAAAATGCTTTAAAAATTGTGAAATAATATTATAATTTTAAAAAACTGTCTTTGATGTGAAAAACTGTCAAAGCTGAATTTTCAGCATCCTTACTCCAGTCTTCATGATCACATGATCCTGATCTGCTGCTCAAGAAACATTTCTGATTATTATCAATGTTGAAAACAGTTCATATGTTTATGGAAACCGTATTTTTAAGATCATTTGATGAATAGAAAGTTCAAAAGAACAGGATTTATTCGAAACAGAAATCTTTTTGATCCTCCGCCGTCACTTTTGATCAGTTTAATGCATCCCTGCTGAATGAAAGTGATCATTTCTATCAGTTTGCTTGAGATTAACCATCTAAATGAACTGAAACGAGTTCAACTTCTTTTTAAAGAGTGTGTGAAAACAGCTGAGCTGTAGTTAAGTCAGTCTCTCCGCAGCACTGAGGTAAACTTCAGAGAAAAGGTCTGCGCAGGGCTCCAGATGCGAATGCTTTGAGGCCGGGCTGAAATGTGGCACCCAGGTGACAGAGCAGCGTCTCTCGGTTAAAGGACTGTCTGATCAGAGATGCTTCCGCAACACTGTCACTCTTAAATGGACCAAGGGCCAGTTTTACTAAACAGGGCAAATTAGCGTGAGAGTACAATTCCAAAACAGGAGAAATTTCTGCGGGTGATTTACTAACAACACGCAAATAAAAGAACACAGATGCAACTTCTCATTTATATATCAATCAACGCAATATACCAAGCGCCAGGCAAATTTGCGTAGTCGCAAATAAAGAACTAAAGAAGCCACAGTACGTTGAAAAGAACAGGAGGCCAAAAAATGAAGGATTGCAAGAGGTTTTGATAGACCTGGTATTGTGTGACTCCTAGTTAAGGTTACAAGTCGTTTTTTATTTCTTGAAGCAAATAAAAAATAACATGTCTTGGCAAACGATATGAAATGCATACGAAATGTGTTCTTCTGGCATTCAAAATAAATGAATACGTGTGGGAAAAATCCTCTCTCCTTCTACCACGCCTGCAGTACCTCTCCTAGAAACAACAATTGCAGTTATTTCAAGCGCAAAATAGTTTACGACATGCTTTTTTGGGGCGTTAAATAATGGCGCAAATACCAGTAATTTGACAAGCGCAAACGTTAGTAAAACGCATTGTGTGATTTATTTGAATACTCTCCTCCCATAACTTTTGTGTCTGAAAGGGAAACTCAAATGCATATTCAAACATAACTGTCCACGCCTTTTCAGCTCTAAATCGTCACTGCGCGTCTTTAGTAAAAACCTGACAGTACTATTTTAACGACAAAAGGAGGTTTGCGCTGGTGCAAGCTGTTAGTAAAACTGGCCCCAAGTCTGCTCTACACTTCTTTAATGATGTGTTATCATTCAAATATCTTAAATGTTTCATATAGGTTTTTTTGTTAATTGTATGATGCCGTTAAGATAACGTTAAGTCTTGCTGCTAACATTATGTAAATAAATAAATGGACTGCAGCAAGAGTTTAGAGTTATACAAAAAAAAGTTTTGTATTTAAGTAAAGTATCTGAACAATCTCAAATCAAGATACTTTTACTAGTGAAGCAAAGTGACATAAGATATTGTCTTATTTTCTGAAAAAATCATTAAAAAAATCAGCTAGTGGGGTCAGAAAAATAAAACTTTCCCATTTCTTGATTTAAAAAAATAATATAATTTAATACTTTTAATATGATAATATTATAATATAAAATATATAAATAGATATTTTAATATAAGATTTTTATTAACTATATTATTATTATTAGTAGTAGTATTTTCAATTGTTAATAAACTAAGAATATTTATTAAAAATAATATATTTCTTAATTTTTTAATAATATTAAATGTACATTTATTTTTTTACATGTTTAAAATGTTTTGACAAACATTTTAATATTTGCTTCTTAACTAAACGTAAACGTATTTTGATATAAGAATGTTTCGATATTTGTACTGTAAAACAAGTCAAAAATCTTAAGTAAGAAAATATTTTTTTGCAGTATGAAATTGTGGACAGCAATTAGTCAGATAGAGGAAAACTGTGAATTTGAAAGTTTATTTAGTCCATTTGTCAGGAGTACTAGTGTATAGATGTGCTCAACATGAACTGAGAGCAACTAAACAGTTAGTTTCACAGGATCTTAAAAGGCTCTTCCTATCATTCGAGGTACATCTGATCTCTGTTCAGGGGCTACGCTGAAGTGTATCTTTAGAAGTTGAAAGTCCAGGCTGGTTTAATGTGATCCGTGTCAAGCTCTGTCAGTCAGACGCTTATCCTGCTGCTGCTGCTGGCTGATGCAACTCTACTTCACGCTTACACTAGTAATCCTGTCTCAGGCGCCGCCCATTCTGTGAGTGAGTGTGAGTGTGAGTGTGCGTGTGCGTGTGCGTGTGTGTGCGCATGTTTATGTGGACACAAATTTGTATAATAACATGGGTATGACATAGGTATTACAACGAGAAGGTGATTTATGAGGACATTTTCAGTGTCCCCGTAATTCAAAAGGCTTATAAATAATTCAGAATTTTTTTTTTAAGTTTCCTGTGAGGGGTAGGTTTAGGGGTAGGGTTGGTGTAGGGCAATAGAATATACGGTTTGTACAGTATAAAAACCATTACGCCTATGGAGAGTCCCCACAAACCATAAAAACAAACCTGTGTGTGTGTGTGTGTGTGTGTGTGTGTGTGAACTTTGGCCCAGTGTGAGCTGGTTCTCATGCTCTGAGCAGATCAGTCCGGGTCCTGTGACCTGCACTCAGATAATTCACTCACCTGCTCTGGGTCGTACAGTTCTGCTCCATTCAGACTTGTGTGTGTGTGTGTGTGTGTGTGTGTGTGTGTCTGTGTGTGTGTAGAATAACTTTATAACATAATATTAGTTCTCCAAGGCATTTGATTAAATCTAAACAGAAAATCGTGTTCATATATGAAGTTGTTTGCTTTTCATTTGTTTCGAATCATCTGTAAGGCCACAGGAGGGTTGTTCTGGTGCAGATTTAGCATTTCATGGTGCAAAGGCTTTCGATTACAGATTTTTAATGTGGTCTTAGATTTTTGGAACACGGTGCATATAAAAAATTATGTGTATTATCCCTGCAGAGGACCATATTTATTACAACAACCACCACCCACATTACCAAGTTTTTTATCATTTTGAAAAGTTGATAAAATACTGAATGTAGAATTTATTTATAGTTACATAAAAGATACTTCTTAAGAGAGATATATATACACAGTATATATATATATATATATATATATATATATATAAAAATCCCATTTATTGTTAAAACTAATATAAATTAAAAAGTGGAAATTTATATATACATACAAACACTATATATAAACAATAATAGTGTTTGTATTTCCCATTTCACTCACAATATTGTAAAATAAACTGTGTGCATTTGTTAATCCGTGTGAATGATTTAGTGGTCTTTTTCTCAATTATAAGCGTGTTGATTTGTGTTTTCAGATCCGTTCTTCAGTCATCACGCTGTGTTTCGCTGGGAAAGAGTTCAGCTGGATCCGACACTTCCTCATCGCCGCTGCTATACTGGCCTTCAACAACCTCCTGGTGATCTTCGTCCCCACCATCAGAGACATCTTCGGCTTCATCGGTCAGTGCTTTCTCCATACAGCGCTTGTTAGTAGATAGTTAGTTAGAGAGGAGAAATAAACGTGATCTCACACATATTTATTCCTCCTCTTCCTCCTGTAGGTTCGTCTGCAGCCACCATGCTCATCTTCATCCTACCGGCGGCGTTTTACCTGCGGCTGGTCAAGAGTTTACCTTTCAGATCGCCTCAGAAAATATCTGTGAGTATAGACTCTATTCTATTCTATTCTACTCTATTCTATTCTATTATTCAGTGCTGGGTAGATTACTTTCAAATTGTGGTCTTTTAGGGTTAGGGTTAGGTTTACTGAATACTGTTGAAAATTGTAATTTGTAACGTAATCTGTTGCATTACACATTGTAGGTAATATAATCGGACTACTTTTGATTACTTTTGACCTGACTCATTTATCATATTGATTTGAATAGAATTATGATGTGCCACATTCATTAATATGAAAATGCAAAGAGAGAGAACATATATATTTTATTCTTTATTATCAACAACATGAAGTGCATTAAACAACAGAGTTTCCTAAACTGGGGGGAACTTCAAGGGGGTTCGTGAATTGATAAAAAGCTAATTAATTAAATCCTAAAAATGTAAACTTAAATGAAAAATTAAAACCAATAATTAATAATAATAATTAAAATATTGACTTAAGATCTCAGGGGGACTTCAAGTAAATATTAAAGTGATGTGTAAAAATGTAATCATGTAATCCATAAAGAAAGTAACTGTAATCTGATTATAAACATTTTAAAATGTTATATTTTGTAAATACAAGTATGTCATTTTATTATTTCATATTATTATAATATCATATATATTAAATATTAACTTAAAATCTCAGGGGGACTTCAAGTTTTACTTAAAAATAATGTGTGAATAATATGCAATCATGTAAACCATTAAAAATGTAACTGTAATCTGATTATTTTAGGCATTTTAAAAAGGTAGTATAATGTAATTACAAGTATTTCATTTTTGGAATCTGATTATCTAATACAGATTACATATAATCAGTTACTACCCAGCAATTAATATATTATATTATATATTTTCATAATTATTTTACTGTATTTAATTTAAATGTGTGTGTGTGTATATATATATATATATATTTAGTTTTTTTCATAATCATATATATTAAATATTAACTTAAAATCTCAGGGGGACTTCAAGTTTTACTTAAAAATAATGTGTGAATAATATGCAATCATGTAAACCATTAAAAATGTAACTGTAATCTGATTATTTTAGGCATTTTAAAAAGGTAGTATAATGTAATTACAAGTATTTCATTTTTGGAATCTGATTATCTAATACAGATTACATATAATCAGTTACTACCCAGCAATTAATATATTATATTATATATTTTCATAATAATTATTTTACTGTATTTAATTTAAATGTGTGTGTGTGTATATATATATATATATTTAGTTTTTTTCATAATTACTATATTATATTATTTTATTTAAATTTTTTCATAATTACTATATTATATTATGTTATGTTTTTTTTTATTATTATTATTTAATTTTATCTACAGGCAGCCATTTTCCTGGTGGTGGGCATCTTCTTCATGATCGGCAGCTTGTCTCTGATCATCTTGGACTGGATTCACAACCCGCCGGGCTCGAAAGGTGCTCATTAAAGCTCCGGCGGTCATCTGCTGAAGCCGTTTCATCCCAGAGCTCATCTCTCGACACGGACGAACCCTGTGCCTCTACCTCTCTCTCCTCTCATAAGCTCTCGTTTGTGTTTTTAACTTCTCCCGGCTCTCAGATCACTGCGTTCACGAGTCTCGCTCAGTACGAAAGATGGAAAGAGAGAGAGAGTTGGGCAGAAGGGCTCATCAAATAAGCACTTGAGGATTTTTATCAAGACATACCAACAATCACGTTTTCTTCTTGTTTGCCTTCATTAGCTGGTCATAGATAGTTAGTTAGTTAGTTAGTTTGTTGTTATTACTTCACTCAAAGATGGCATTTTAGTCGTTTTCTCCTCGCGTATGCTGAGGAAGATCTTCCACGTACAAAATGAAGGCAATGAAACGGTGCTGATTTCCATTTCTGAGTGAACTCTTTGTTTAATGCTATCACTTGAATCAGATTTCCTCTTTGAGAGGTGGAAAAAGGTCCAATTATTGCATTGTTGTACCAAGATGAAGTACAGTTGGGCCACAAAAGCTCAGCTTTTTCCTCTCAAACGGATCCATAAGCATCGGCTCGATAAGAAGATTTTGAGCGGGTCAGATGTCTTGACAACTGCATTCAGCTTTCTAAAGCAGTTCAGATGATATTTAAAGGGGTGCTATTATGCTTTTTCACTTTTTCAACTTGAGTTAGTCTGTAATGTTGCTGTTTGAGCATACAAAAGATCGGCAAAGTTACAAAGCTCAAAGTCCACTTCAAAAGGAGATCTTTTATTTAACAGAAATCACTTATCAAAAACTACAACGAACGACTCGTTTGGACTACAACGCATATTTTCCGTGATTCGTGATATCACAAATACCAACGAATGGGACGAGACCTGGTTGAGTTGCACTAGAGAAGGCAACGAGTGTTATCACTGTCGGAGACACGCTAGCTTTCCCAAGGCAGACGCACTTAGAGTGCTTACAATCATTCAGGTTTAAATCGCGCTCAAATTGATTTGATTTTGACGCAATATTTACACTGAAGTTCGCAGTAAGGGGCATGACATTTCCCGACCAGGCGCCCAGCTAACCAATCACAACACACTGGCCCAGCTAACCAATCACAACACACTGGCCCAGATATCAAAACACAGCACACACTGGCCCCGCTAACCAAGCACAGCACACTCTGGCCCAGCTAACCAATCACAGCACACTCTGGCCCAGCTAACCGATCACAACACACACACACACTTACACACACACTCACACTCACACTCACACTCACTCACACTCACACACTCACACTCACACACACACACACACACTCACACTCACACACACACACACACACACACACACACACACACACAA